GTTGTCATGGTTCATAAACCAGTAAATCGATACTTGTACCAAACTCATTTCAAAACATATAAAACTGTCATGTAATTCATTTGGAACACACTAGAGTATCCACGTATATTTTTCAGAGGCATTTATCGTTATCAATAAGGACAACATGAAACTCAAGCAATTTGATAGATTCCAGGAACAAGGTTCTATTGAGGAGAATCGATTACTAACTGATCTAGCCAGACATTTAAGGTTGATACTTTAGAATCCCACTATATTTTCGGGTGCATCAGGAAAGTGTTCCAGAATGCCCAGAGTGATTTGAGCTAATAAAGGAGAAACGAAGCTTCAAGACATTTACAATCCATGTTAATCGATCGGTTCATCAAACAATTCGAACTGAACAATCTCTCAGAACTAATGCATGTCGACTCGTCAATTTATTGCCTTTTCAGAGTATTTACTCTTTAATACCAACAATTCTTGTCCATAAATCATTTTCGTAATCATCGCTGAATATATCTTCCAATAGTCTTTATTTCATTTCCATATTTCAACGATATCAGGAAATACATACATACTTGATTCATGTTTTATGACCCATAAGGATAATTCATCATGTAAGTTCAACAGTGTTCCCAAACTCAACCAATCACCTATTTAATCCTCAATCATTGATTACTCATTTCGTTTATCATTCAAGTCTATCCTGGTTACTTCAGAGCTTTCCAGATAATCCAGACATTCTGAATTTCAGATACATATTGTACTTTCGTTTAATTTAATTTGGTCTTCGTGGTTGATTTGTCTAACAAATATCCATTTCTTATTATCGAATGCGACCTAGAGTTGAGTTGAGCTGAGTACTTTCAAAATTATCATCGAACCACACTTGAGAAGACGAACACGCATTCAAGTAACATATATACATTTCAGGTACTGGCATGTACACTAGCATTGATTGCTCGGCTAATATGTGATCCATAACTTTTAAGAGCAGTACCACATCCATGTTTATTTGGATTCCTTAATTAATCCAACACTTCTATTAATCATTCTTGAGCTTGGTAATATTCTTGAGTCTTTTTCATTACAGGGGTATTTTGGTTATTTTACAGATCCGGTGTATTTCAATTCTTTCCTTCCATTTGTCTTATTATTTAACTCCAACTTATCATTTATTCCAGACCTTTCAAATAATTATGACAAAAGAGCACCCTCGATAATTTATTCTTAACTCGGAGATTTTCAGGTCAATTGTCTTCTCAGAAGTTACCAACAGGTTATCAGAAATTTTTTGTACAAAGACAGGATCTTAACAATTAAATCCGTAATTCATTGCGTTAAGTACAAATCCTCAAAGTACTTTTTCATTCAGGGTCAACTCAAGCTATTTTTACCTTTCAAGGGTATTTTCATAATTTCTTAATCAGATGATTTTGGTATTAACTCTTAATGAGCATACTTATAATTTAGAGATCCTATGGTTAGTTGTTTCCTCGAACATTCACTGATCTTGAAATGATTCCTTAACAGACTTCTAGTATCTTGCATAAACCCTCTTAGGGTTAAAAACCGGTTATCCATAATTTCTAAGTAAAACTAACATTTCTTATGCACATCAATATATTTATCAGATCAATATATCTTTTAGATTTATTAATCCACTTCCAATGACAATTCTTGTCATTTTCCAATATAAGGGTAATTTCGTAATTTTACTTAATCAAAATATTCTCATAATTTCCCATCCAAGTACCTTTAACATGTAACCTTTGATGATATAAAATATAAGTTACTAATACATGGTTGATTTCTTTATCACTAATCACAAACTTGTAATTTAATTCTAACAATTCCTCAATCTCTTATATTAGTATTCGATTCGTATTCAGTTACAGAATTTCTACCACATTCATATCGAGTGAATAAATTATTCAACTCCACAAAAGTGACCAACATTATCTTATTCATGCTTTTACCAATATCAACATGTTCCATAAAGCATAAAGAGGTAGTAAAGTATTACCTCGATTTCTATGACATACTGATCGACCATAAAAATTCCATTCGAACGCCCTCGATCTTGAAATGATCTTCCAATATTTCCTCGGGTCCATACCAACAGAAATTACATCAAAACGGAGCTTAATTCTGAAAAACGGATCGAATCGGATGATAAATCAATGAAAATAGCTTACCGGGTTCGAATTTGGCGAGACGGACTTCGGATTCAAGACGTCGAAAACATAAAATATGACTTTTCAAAAATTTGGAAATTTTCGGTCAAAATCAAAGTCAAGGTTTGACTGGAAATTTTGAAGCCTTCGGGTCCGAATTTTGAAAAACGGACTGCGAAATCAGATTTGGAACGTTGAAAAAAGTCAGGATATGTATACTCGGTCAAAGTCAAAGGTCGTTTAATGTCCGGTCAAAGTTTTGGTCAATTGTGATCAACTTCGATCAACGGTCAACAGTCGATCATTTTACACAAATATCACCCTAACATAAATTAATTATCAAATTAGTCACATTCTGCAAATATTTACCAATCAAACACCCGAATTTTATACAAATAGCACACAGACAGAAATAAATTACAAAATTAACACCCAGACGATGCCCACTCTCGGGGGTGGCACGTGCGACGCGTGAACAGTGACTCGGTGTCGATAAATTCCCGAAAAAATTCCTAAAAATTATTTTAAGCGATTTTGAGGCACTTACAAAGCTCGGTTCACAATTTTGAACGGCGGAGAGCTCGATTCCGAAACGTCGGAAACTTTGACAGTCTCACCCCTCCACGCGCCAGTGACGACGGAGAAACGGAGAACATCGATGGACTCGGAATGATGCAAGGAACACGATGGTGCGGGAGGTGTTGTAAACAGATTGTCGGATCGTCGTGAATCGACCAAAAACCAACTGAAAACGAGTTATTTCCGATGATACTTCCGACTGAAATTAACGACTAACGGTGACGATTCACGATGAAAGGTTTAAGGGGTTTTGTTCCTCGGTCGACAATGAACACGATGGTGGTTTCAGTTCTCGATCGGAGGTCGGACGACGACTAAATCGAATATCGAAATAGGGTGAACGTAGGAGGGAAATGGGGGAAATCTGGAAACTGAGCACGGGTAAGAGAGTTATATTTCATCATATATAAAAAATAGTTAAATCATGTGTTTAGTCACTAAACTTCCTGCACTTCTTAAAATAGTCTGTTAACTTTACGATTTTACAATTTAATCTCTAATTTCTTCCAAAAATATAATTAAATTCACCACTTTATAATTTCTTAAATTTAGCCCCTAAATTGGGGTGTTATAACCACTTTCTCATGTTTGTTTCAATTTTTTAAAGGAGGAATTGGAATCTAATTCCATCAAAGGGAAATAAATTACATCCATAACATGATGGAATTGAAATCCTTTGGAGGAGGAAATGTGAAATTTGACCATACTACCCTCATCAATCTTTTGGTATTCGGATCGGATTTTAAAAAAAAATCGGGGTCGGGTTGGATTTTTTTAAGTTTGATATTCGGGTCGGGTTAGGTCGGGTTTTTTTAAGTGTGATATTCGGGATCGGGTTGGATTTTTTTAAAAAAAATGGGTTCGAGTAGAGTCGGGTTTTTTTAAGTTTGATATTCGGGTCGGGTTTTTTTAAGTGTGATATGTGGGTTCGGGTCGGGTCGGTCGAGTTTTTTTAAGTGTGATTTTCAGGTCGGGTCTGGTTTTTTTAAGTGTGATATTCGGGTCGGGTCGGGTTTTTTTAAGTGTGATATTCGGGTTCGGGTCGGGTCAAGTCGGGTTTTTTTAAGTTTGATATTCTGGTCGGGTTTTTTTAAGTGTGATATTCAGGTCGGGTCAGGTTTTTAAGTGTGATATTCTGGTTCGGGTCGGGTTTTTTTAAGTGTGATATTCGGGTCGGGTTTTTTTAAGTATGGTATTCGGGTCGGTCGGGTTTATGGTGAAAAATACCCGACTCGACCCGAAAAAAATATATAATTTTACCTTATATATTTATGAATAATTACAATAATACTCTCTCTATATATATTTTTCAATTAAGTCACTGTTTTTATTGAATAAAAATATTTTTTTTATTATTTCGGGTCTGGTTTCTAATTCATATATCCGGGTCGGGTATGGTGAAACTTTATTTGTTTGGGTCGAGTCGGGTCTCGGGTGGAGGTTCCCTTGTTCTCAGGTCAGGTCGGGTGGACCAAAACCCGACCCATGGCCATCTTAATTTGGATGATTTTAACTTATGATGTTTATTAGTATGATTTTTATAATTTATTAGAATGAATAATCAATCAATAAAATAAAATTTTAATATTTTTTAAATTTTTATAATATATTGCTACATGTAAGTTATAAAAAAACTAAAATTAAGCAAAAATAAACTTAAATTAAAGGGGAAATAAGAAGGAAATTCTGTCATTTTATATTACTAAAATCAAATTTATCTGATATGTATGTAAACCAAACAGAATATGTAATTGGATTCCAATTCAATTTCCTGTCAACAAACAGGTTTCAGATTCAAATTTTAATTCCTACATATTTTAATTCCTATATATTTTAATTCCTTCACAGATTTCAATTCCCTCATAAATATTAAACGAACCAAACCCACTCAATGTGAAGTTGTATCTTATTTTAGGACCCATCATAATCACTGCGTTCATTTTCCGGTCAATTCAAATTATAGCCAAAATATAAGAAGAGAACGTGAAACCTCTACTTGTGCTTAGCGGTCAGTTTTTTATATGGTTGGAGGTGGCGTCAGCGTGGGCCAATTAGAAAAAGCAAAAAGCTGCCGCCAAAAACCAAGTCTCTCCGGTGGAGAAAGAGAAGAAGCGATGTATTAAGAAGGTTGACCTAGTGACATTTTCGTAATTAAAATCAAACCACATGGTCAATTCGGTATCCTACGTATATTTCACGCAAGGGTTTCCTCTTCTCTTTGCCCAATAAAACCGGAAATGCCAGCCCTCAGCTATTCTAATATCGCATTTGGCAGGAACAGAAACGCAAATCCCTGAGGAATCCCAAGCTTCGACTTCTGCTTCCATTTCTAAAAATTTCTTCGTTTTTTTTCTCAACGGCGATGGCTTCTCTCTCCGACTCTTCCAAACAATCCCTTCTCCCTAACTTCCTTTACTCTTCGCCCACCTCTTTTGCCGTCGATCGGCTCCTCAATGCCAACAACCCTGCCTTCGGCGCTTCGCGCTTCACTACGCTCGAATCTCCAGCTGCATCATCCTCGCCTTCGATCAAGTCGAGGACGTTCATGATCCCCTCGCCGAATGAGCCTGGGAAGAGGATCGAGATGTACTCGCCTCAGTTCTATGCTGCTTGTACTTTCGGTGGTATCCTTAGCTGTGGTCTCACTCACACGGCGGTTACTCCTCTTGACCTCGTCAAGTGTAATATGCAGGTATATATGTAGATCTGGATCTCCTCTTTACCTTCTTTCGAACTTTGTACTTGGTTTTAAGATTAGACCTGTGTTAAGCTTGGTGTTCAATTGAGAATTCTGATTGATGATTGTTGTTTTAGATCTGTGTCTGTTTTCTTCTACTGATTCAGTTCCATTTTGATGACTTAGTTTTTACTGCCTGATTTTTAGATACGTGGAACGTCATAGGAGTATCACTTCGATTGCAGTCCAGATTGAATTTTATTTCCAAGTCTCTATGTCTTCATTTCGTAATAGATTTTGCTGTTATTCTGTCCACAATGTTATTTGCTAGAATTTAATTGTAATTGTATTTATATTTGATTGCACTCGCTTTTTCATCTAGCAGTTGTATTGTGGAAGGATGTCCTGAACCTAAGTTGGGAAGTTTTTTCAAATGAATCAATGTCATTAGTACTGAACCCTGAGTTTATTCTGGAGGGAAATAAATTTTTTATGCTTCATTTGAGAACTTGGATTTCTAAAGTCCATGTTCCCCAACGCTGCCTTAAAGCATTTCTTCGAATTCCTTCTGTTCCTCTGATTTTATAAATCATATAATGACTATTTGAGATAGTTATTTGTGTAGCAATCCTATTTGAGATAGCTATTTTTGCAAAGCAATTTTTTCTTGTACATGTTTTGTATTTATCTACCATAATTATAGGATATCCCGTTCCATGAATTACTGCATTTATTCGAGTGATCCACAAACAATGAAAATCTCTTTTTTCTCGCATCTCTATCTTGACGAACCGAAACCGAAACTCTTATTCCTTATTGAGTAATAGTAGTTCAGGTAAGTCTTGAAGGAGCCTGTCTCAATATTTTTTTAAATATTATTTTATATATTTGTACTCTTATTTCATAATAATATATGTGATTAACATGCATACATATATATAATCATAAAATTTAAAATATATATTAATATGATCAAAACTTAATTTATTTGGTACTGATTTAGTGGTGGAACAGTAACTATACACTGGTATCCATATGGTATCAATCACCATGATATGAATACTTGTGTTATTTGTTGCAGTTAATCTGCGATCATTTTTATTGTAATGCTTTGTATTTGATTCATTATACAATAATTTTATAATAGTACAGTAGATGGTACATTATGGATTTGCTTTGTCGTTAGCCATCTGATATTTTAATATGGTGGATGATCTAAATTGTCATTTGGATTGTTGTTTTGCAAGATTGACCCTGCAAAATACAAGAGTATCTCATCTGGTTTTGGAGTCCTACTGAAAGAGCAAGGATTTAGGGGCTTCTTCCGTGGTTGGGTTCCTACTCTTCTTGGTTATAGTGCTCAGGGAGCTTGCAAGTTTGGATTCTATGAGTTTTTCAAGAAGTACTATTCTGACCTTGCTGGACCTGAATATTTTGCTAAGTACAAGACCCTCATCTATCTTGCTGGTTCTGCATCTGCTGAGGTGATTGCCGATGTTGCGCTCTGCCCTTTTGAGGCAGTCAAGGTCAGGGTTCAAACCCAGCCAGGTTTTGCTAGGGGTATGTCAGACGGATTTCCCAAGTTCATCAAATCCGAAGGTGCTGCTGGGTAAGCTTCTGAGCATTGTTAAATGTTCTGTGTAAGTAATACCAGGGAATGTCTGTTTGATTGAGTTTTGAATCTATTTGCTGTGCAGATTGTACAAGGGTATTGTTCCTCTTTGGGGCCGTCAGATTCCATGTAAGTTTGGCATGCACATTTTTCGTGGATAATTCCTGGCTTTAGTACATCCCTTTATTTTTATTTTATCCTTCCCGTTTTTCTTTTTAACACTCCATTTTGGCGGTTGCTTTAGCATTTGTTAATTAGACATTCCTCCTTTCCTTTGAACAAATTGTAAGATTATTTAGACATTCCTCCTTTCATTCAGATACCATGATGAAGTTTGCTTCTTTTGAAACCATTGTTGAGATGATCTATAAATATGGTATTCCCACACCGAAGGACCAATGCAGCAAATCTTTGCAGCTTGGTGTTAGTTTCGCTGGTGGTTACGTCGCTGGTGTCTTCTGTGCTATTGTTTCTCATCCTGCTGACAACCTTGTCTCTTTCCTCAACAATGCCAAAGGGGCAACTGTTGGTGATGTAAGTTCTGACAGCCTCATATGATCATTTGAGCTTTTATAATTTCAGTTATGAATCATTTTTACTTGCCTTGTGATTATGCAGGCTGTGAAGAAGCTTGGTTTGTTGGGTCTGTTTACCCGTGGGCTTCCCCTTCGTATTGTGATGATTGGAACCCTAACCGGAGCTCAGTGGGGTATCTATGATGCTTTCAAAGTGTTTGTGGGACTGTAAGTTATTCCTATCATGGCTATAAAGCATCGGTGTTTCGTTTTCAGGTGATTATAGTGAATACTAATGGGATTTCTCTTGTAATCTTTCAGGCCAACCACTGGTGGTGTTGCCCCTGCTGCTGGCACGCAGCCTGCGAAGGCATAAAAAATAGTGGAATGTCAACTAAATACTTTAATAAACCCTTTTCGTAGGGAAAAATAAAATTAAAACATAGGATTGCTGGAAATTGCATGAATGAGGCTCAAGCGGTTGGAAAATATTCGTTTTGCATTCGGAACTTTTATCACGCATTTTTGTTTTGACCGATGATGGTTTTTGTCGGAGGATGGTTTTGGTTTCATCCTCTAAACATGCGGAGACTATTTTTTTGTAGTTAGATCATATATTCTGAAATTCCCTTTGAAGATCGATACCCCCTGTGTCTGTCACCAAAACTATTTTAGCAGATTGCGGTGGGGGCTATAATACTGATTTTAGCAGATCATTTGGAATACTCATTTTTGGGCATTCCTGTAAGCATTTGTTTTTACTGTTTTTGCATTTCTAGCAATACATTTTTGTTTAGCTGAAGTGTTGAAAATCTTAATCATCAGTTAACGAAAAAAATACATATCATACAATAAACAAACTACCACGGATTTAGCAGTTTAAGTCCATTGGAGCTGATTTTGTACAGCATTGATCGTGTAAGCTGAGTTTTAGACGTGTATTTGACTAATTGTTGGACTATTGTAGGATTTAGATATACGTTTGAGATGAACAGTATGTTATAAATTTACTATTATGAATAGTTATTTCATTCGCATGAACATGTCCAAGATACATTGTTAACACAAACACAAACGTAAATTTAGATTGAGCAAACAATGATAACAATGTACATGGATTTTATCACTTATTACTAAATGTGAGTAAAGACAAGTGAGTATATGTAAACTTTACATCAAATTAATAAAAAAATCCAAAAAGGAACAAAAAATAAGAATAAATTTGGGATTTATAATTTAGGGTTTTAAGTTAGGAGAAGAGTATAAAATGATGCAATTAAACAACTTTGTGGGTTAAATTGATGTCAAAATACGATAAGAGCGAAAATGATAAATTTAGTCAATAACAAGGTAAAAGTTACCCTCTTGTTTTTTTTTTACTTTCTCTCAACATTTCTTTTTTAATGAGTTCTTTTTCCCTTCTTTTTCGGCGAAGTTTTTCAGTTTTCAATTCATAAAAGAATAACACTATTTGAATTTCATTTTCTTATTGTGAGTATATAAAATTTTAAAGATTATATTAATTTTGATGGCAACATCTAATTTTTACTATTATACAAATTCAGATGATTTAAAAAAATAATAAATTATACTATACAATAATTAGATTTTATTATTTTATTTTATTTATTAATATTGTGATTGTTAGTATTTTATTTATTATTAGGTTAAAAATGGAGTGTTGTTTTGTTGAGTCTCTTGGCTATTAAAAGTTATAAAATGATTCTTCAAGAATGTTATTTTGTTGAGTCTCTCCACTATTAAAAGTTGCAAAATGGTCATTTGACTATTCATATGCTTCAAAATTGTCCATTTTTATAATAAAAAAATGATGGTCGTATGAGTTAGATGTTAACTTGTTATTTGAGATATGATAAAATTTGATCCAATAATCGTTTTAGTTGTATTTTATGAATCAACTCTCCTTTTACATAATGTCGTCAAGCCAATGCTTGAACCATTATGCCATCGAGCCAGTACTTTAGTATGCATCATGAAAATATGATTTTATCACATCCCAATTACATGTGAACATCCAACTCAGACAACCATTAATTTTTAATGACAAAGATGACTTTGAAATATATGAAATCGGGTGACTATTTTGTAACTTTTAATAGTCAATGGACTTAAAAAACAGTCTTATAATGGAGAGATCGTCTGTATTATGTGGGGCAAGTGCATACCCATTATTTTTTAATGATTGATTAATATAGTTCAATATAGGCTTAATTAGAAAATATGTGCCCAAACTTTTTTTGATTCATCCAGATGCCTAACATTGCAAACGTTACCGCTTTAGGTGCCTTGACTGTAACGTTCGTTAAGTGACATGTGTCACATTTCGATAATTTTGAAAAAAAATTTTAAAAATTAAAAATTATATTTTATTTTAAAAATAACCATAATTTCTCTTAAATTACAAAAAAGTCCCAAATCCCTAACCCACTGACTTCGTCTTGCATCTTCCGAGTCATATATCGTCAATTGGTTGTCGCGATCACATAGGGTCACGATTTGTAGCATCGACGTTCGTCAGGTACGCACGTCGATTGGCTGTCAATTGACTCTTATCCCAGTGGCTTTTTATGGGGTTATTGATCGTCGGGTGGAGGTTCATCGACGACAAAGGGCAGCGACTAATGTGGGTTTAGGAGTTGAAATTAGGGTTTTCAATTTTTTAAAGATTTTTTTAAACTTTTCAAAATTTTTGGTTTTTTTAAAATATAATATTTTCTAATTTTTTAAATTTAAATAAAAAATTAAAATTATCAGAATATGACATGTGTGCTTTAACTATAGAATTTAACGACCGTTAGGGGTGAGGCACCTAAAGTGGTAACATTTGTAACGATAAGTACCTGAATTAATAGAAAAAAACGTTTGAGCACTTGGGAAAAATTGTATAGTTTGAACACTTATTTTCTAATTAAGCCTTTAATATTAAAAGAATAAGAAATTAAAAAAATGCATACCCATTTTTTTTAAAATGTGTATTATTCTATGTGTCCCACAATTTGTGTCTTATATTTATTATGCATATAATTTTATGATATATATTTGATTAAGGGAAATGACAAAATTATCTTTAAAAGGTGACTGATGGATTTGACTAATTTATTTCGATAAATATAAAAAAGAGGAACATATAAGGACAAAATAAAAAATATAAATATTATTGTTTATTTACTTTTATAATAAAACATTTTCAACGAGACCTGAAAATAAAAAATATATATACATTTAGTGCGACGAGGACTCCTATACCCTTATTATTATTATGATTGTGATTATTGGTGCTATCGATGTCGTTTTGCTTGAGGAAGATCAGCTGTCTATTTCAACAACAACAAAAAATCCGTAATGAATCCTTGACTCACCGTTAAGTATTTTGATTCGAGTGAAATGAATCTCGTTGAAATTTCTAAGAAGTTGCGTAGGGGAATACCACTTTGCTCCATTTCCCCAACATCAACACCATTGTCGTCGTCAAAAGTCATGAAGAAGAAGAAAATAACTTAGGGTCGAAGAAGACATAATATTTTTCAGAGGAAGACGAAGAAAGGGAGCAGTCGTCGTCAAAAATGACACAACCGACACGAGAAATGAAAATGGCATGAAACAATGCAACAACGGTCAGTCATGAACTTTGACGTCGTCAATCTTCCTGAAGATTAAAGTGGTGTTTGTTTTCATTGTGCAAGCTCTTCAAATCATTTATGTTTGCGTCGCGCAGACCACGAGCAGACATTAGGTTTCGTAGACTGTTTGTTTTTTAGAAGACAGAAGCCCTTCAAATGTCTGCGCGAACTCTTCTTGGTGTAGACTTGATTTTATGTCTGCAAATGTCTTCAAACCTCTTCAAGAGCAATTATAAAATATAATTATTTATTAAAATAATTTAATAAGGTTATTTATTTTAAAATAATTTATTATAAAATAATTTATTTTAAAATAATTTATTATAAAATATTTATTATAAAATAAATTATTTTAAAATAAATTTAAGTTTTTGTATACTTCTGCGGTCGTGTTGGTGCTTTCAAGAAGATCCTAACGGCAGCTGTTTTCTGATTGGCTTGTCGGTAGTCACGTATTGTCAAATCCCTTCTTTTTTAAATGGTTGTTTACTGATATAATTAGAATTGTGTAGCGAAGCAGTTTGTCAAATTGTTTAGTTTGCTCATAAATAATTTTATGTATGACTTTTTGGTGACTACTGTCTCCAATTTTCTTTTTAAATACGTTATAATTTTGATTCATCCATTTTTATTAATAAAATTCAGTTGTCATTGCTAAAAAAAAGTAATATTAATATTAATTTCTTAGTTCAAATAACACACAAGATAGGACACAACACTAGTTTCATTTGATGTTTATTTTATTTCTTTCACATTGCACAATAATATCACTATATCTGCTGAGATTTGATGCAAAAAGTAGCAAAACACCAAAATAAGTGATAAAAACCTGCTCACATCCTTTGAGATTTCATGTAACAAAATATTATAAGGGTATCCATGGTGATTAATGTTGATAAATCGGGCAAAGTAAACGAAAGAACACAAGAATTTTAACGAGGTTCGGCAATGTGCTTACGTCCTCAGTGCTTAGGCGGCGCTATAAAATTTTATTCTATTCTCATAGGTTTAGGTTACATCTCTAGTTATAATAGAAAACCCTGGTACATAATTACAAAATTAACCCTGTACCGTACCGCGGGGCGTACCCCCCGCACCCCCAACCCACATAATCGTAACCCCCTCTACGAGACTTTCTTTGTAAGGACAGTTGATGTTCGCTTCGCTCACTCCGCTCCACCTTGGCGAATATCCTGCCCCTTAGGAAACATTCAATGTGGGTTGGGTTACCTTAGTTCTTTAACAACTTGAAACATTCAACAAGTCCAAGCAATGCTTGAACTTGTCTGTCGTAACTGGCTTGGTGAACATATCAGCGGCATTCTCATTAGTGTGTACCTTCTGAAACAAAATCTCTTCAGATGCAACCAACTCTCTGATCTTGTGAAAACATACATCAATGTGCTTAGTTCTAGCACGATATACTGATTCTTAGCTAAGTGAATGCACTTTGATTGTCGCAAAGCAGCTGAACCCCTTGTTGAACACCCAACTCCTTCACTAAACCAGTGAGCCATAAAGCTTCTTTTGCAGCTTCAGCCGCTGCCATGTACTCAGCTTCAGTTATAGATAGTGCCACTACAGATTGAACAGTAGACTTCTAACAAATAGGTCCTCCACCAAGAGTAAAAACATACCATGTCGTAGATCTTCTATATCCAAGTCACCTGCATAGTCTGAATCCACATATCCTACAACCAAAGATTATCTCGTTGACTACCAAAAACAATTCCATGTCCCACAGTACCCTTTAAGTATCGAAAGATCCACTTGATTGCTTCCCAATGTTGCTTACCAGGTTTAGACATGTACTTACAAACTTGACTAACAGCAGGAGCTAAATCAGGACAAGTACATACCATTGCATACATCAAGCAGCCAACAACATTAGAATACGGAACCTTTGCCATATCTTCAGCTTCCTTATCTGTCTTAGGGCACTGTTCTGATGAGAGCTTAAAGTGGTTCCAATGGAGTGTTAACTGGTTTTGCTGCTCAT